ACGCAGTGAAGCCGGGTCAATGTCCCAAACCGAAGAACATTCCACTGTGTGCTGAAAGCTGTTTTCCAATCTCCACCCCCTAGATGTGGATCCAACCACGCCCCCTGGATCTTGTGTTCTGCAGTGAGGGGCTACTGGAATACATTCAAAACTCTTCTCAAAACTGTCCTCAAAAACATTAAATCCACACACACATTTCTATTTTCCCAATATTTCTATCTGTACATTAGCATCTGTCTGTGAGCCATGTTTTCGAGCAGATCCAGGTGTCATTAATGTAAGACTGCAGTGTCTTGAACACAGCATGTCATACGCCCACAGAGAATTCAGATGACAAAACACAACTGCCTTGTGTAACCAAACCTACTCTGTAAGTAACCAACGATATAGGTTCATACAAAAAACTTGAACCTTTGCTCCCACTGTTTTATAATACAACTCTGATAATAATACAAAAGCCATATTAAGATGCCACAACTACAGCTCCATGGTAATTACCGAAGTTTGTTATTCTTTAATGCAATGTCAACAATGCTTATGTTTGTATTCAGATCTATAGATTTTTCAAAAATGCAATAAAATGAAATTCACTCACAATGACATTTTTAACTTTTATTTAATAGGTTTTCATTTTCTGAATTAAAATCTATTGTGATTTTTGTGGGGCAAAGTAGAAACCGTTGGGTCTTTTAATGGAAAAAGTAATTAAAAGGCTGCCATTATTATTATTATATTTTAAATAATCAAATAATAATGTCAGCATAATCTTATTTTCTTTCTTAAAAAGAATAAGTGAAGCAATATATAAAATTTAACAAACCATTCTTATAAAATAGAGATCATTTTTGAAGCTTTTCTGTAAAACGGAAATAAAATGCGTATTTTTCATCTCAGCGAGCCTTTTTTTCTGGTCAAAAAAAGGTAATATTACAATATATATTTACTTAAATATTTAAAATAATACATTTCTCAAATACTGAAATTTTTTTTTGTGCAAAATATTGATGGAAATATATAACCTCACTAAACCTTAAATATTGTATCAGCATAATCTTATTTAAAAAACAAACAGACAAAAGAGTGAAGCTTCACACACACACAAAATAGAGACAATGTTTCTGCTTTTTTTGTAAAATCCATATTTATTTATGATTTACAAAAGCCTATGTAACAACCATTAAAATGAATCAAATGAATTCGTCTTTAACCTAAAATGAAAACATGACTGTGCGTGTTTATGTGTCAGTTTATGTTTCTCAAAGTGGCAAAAAAGGAAGGATGTTGACATTACCCTTACGCATAATTTGATTTACGAAGTCTCTGTTCTCTGGAAAATTATTTACACAGGCGCCAACAGGTCTAGACTATGAATGAAAAGATGCAGGTGCTTCAAACTGAAGAGACTCGACCCATTTTTGAAGCTTTTCTGTAAAACAGAAATAAAAATGCGTATTTTTTATCTCAGCGAGTCTTTTTTTCTGGTCAAATAAAGGTAATATTACAATATATATTTACTTAAATATTTAAAATAATACATTTCTCAAATACGGGAAAAAGTTTTTTTTTTGCAAAATATTGATGGAAATATATAACCTCACTAAACCTTAAATATTGTATCAGCATAATCTTATTTAAAAAACAAACAGACAAAAGAGTGAAGCTTCACACACACACAAAATAGAGACAATGTTTCTGCTTTTTTTGTAAAATCCATATTTATTTATGATTTACAAAAGCCTATGTAACAACCATTAAAATGAATCAAATGAATTCGTCTTTAACCTAAAATGAAAACATGACTGTGCGTGTTTATGTGTCAGTTTATGTTTCTCAAAGTGGCAAAAAAGGAAGGATGTTGACATTACCCTTACGCATAATTTGATTTACGAAGTCTCTGTTCTCTGGAAAATTATTTACACAGGCGCCAACAGGTCTAGACTATGAATGAAAAGATGCAGGTGCTTCAAACTGAAGAGACTCGACCGGATCCTCCATTTAAATAAACATCTGCAATACTGTGGGCTGAGGGAAGC